TACATAAATTATTTATCTGTACTTAATTAGCTGCAATATGTTTTATCCATATATTTATAATACATATTGGTTTAAACACCTAAAAAATAAAAATGTACTTAACACTTGATGCTTATTAGCTTACCCAAAACCCAAATGAGTTCTAATTGTAATCATTCATCTTTAAGTAGGTTTTAATTAATCTCATAAAAAGTTCATTCTCTGTATCTTGTCTACAGAGAATAAATAAACTATATCTGAAGGATCAGTTACTCCCATAATTGTCAAAGTAAGAAGGGAAAAGGGCCTGATATACCCCTCAACTTTGTCATTTAGAGCTGATATATCTCTCGTTATGAAAGTGACTCATATATACCCTTACCATTATACAAGAGTCATTTGTATAATAATTGGGGTATATATGAGCCACTTTCATAACGAGGGGTATATCAACTCTAAATGACAAAGTTGAGGGGTATATCAGACTCTTTCCCAAGTAAGAAATATGGTGTCTGGCTAACTAGCATTCTGTTTCATCTTCCACATCAGGGTGTTGTAGAATGTGTGGCCAGTCAATATTGAAATGCCAGATTTACTTGTACAAACTGGAGTCTATACATCACGGTGCAGTCACCTAAAATGTTTATAGTAATGTATGGTACAAAGTCGAGCCAACAGAATTGAGAATGGATGTAGCAAAGTCACATCCATTCTTGACTTCTATTCCGACAGAAGAATGTATCACAATAAAGTTCAGCACGCCTAAGAGCAAGGAAGTCTCAACTCCCAATCCCCCAACGTCAGGGTGAGGGGTGAACCCGATCTCATCTATGATATATTGCTGCAGGATGTTGTGGGAGCTTTATCATAATTGTGTAGCACTATAGATGTGGATGATAGTTCTTTCTATTCACCTTCCAATATTCTATACCATAACAGGAACTCAATGGATTTCACACCGTCACGTGCTAGTTTCTTGTAGCCAAGAGACTTAATTTCATGTTCAATGACTCATAAAATTTTGTCGCCAATAGAATGTGTCATATGTAAATGCTCAAAATGTCTAAAATTTATAGCAGTACAACGCAAACAATGTAATTTACGTTTGGGAGGTTGTGGAAAGGATCACTAAATGAATAGAATTCAAACTATTTTCATTTGAGTAAACCAAAGGGGAATCACAAGAATAAGATAAGAAACTTCATTGGAAAAAGATTCAAAAATCTGAAGTAATTCATATGAAAAAATTAACAAATTATAGAGAAGAGGAGGAAAAGGCGCTATTATTGTTGAGATTCAAAAGATTTAATATCTATGTAGGTTCCTAATCTATTTATATACAAATTGCACGTCCACAAGCATGTATCTCATCTTCATATTTGACAATTTTCTAAATAAGAACTCAAAACTATCTTTGCCAGTACAAAGAGGATGAAGGATGAGCAATCGCACCAGATGGAACAGCATCAACTGCTTGTGAGCCACTGCTCCGGTATGGCTCAGTTGTTGGACCAGTAGCAGCAAGCTGATATGGTGGAGGTATGGTGTTTGACAGCCGTGTAGAGCCTCCCAAGTGTGGTGGAGGCCTATAAATATCACCAGTTATGATATTTGGCAACCCTGTAGAGCCTTGTGAGTATGGTGGTGGCCTATTAGCATCACCAGGTGTGGTGTTTGACAACCCCATAGAGTTTTCCATGTATGGTGGAGGCCTACTATACGCATCACCAGTTATGGTGTTTGGCCCTTCCAAGTAGGATGACGGCCTATAGGCATATCTGTGGGAGGGCAGCCTGTCATACACAGTTGCATCACGAAGAGATCCATCAACTCGACTCAGAACAACATCGGTGCCTGCTGATATACCTGCTCCAGGTACAGCCATGGCCACACCTCCCATAGGTCCTGCCAGCGAGCCAACAATATTTTCATGAATCGAGCCTGCAACAGGTCCATGATATACCGAAGGGTACACAGAATGACCATAAAAGTGTCCAGCCGTTCTATCACCTTCTAACAAGGTATTGCTTCTATCGACATGGTTAACGACTCTCTGTTGTGGCGTCCATGGATTAGGAAAATGTGAGTGTTTCATTTCTTTGTTGTTCAACCACTCAGTTTCATCATTTTTTCTCTTTTGTACCATTCTTTGTTCATCTTTCAGATTCTTCCTGAATTGAGCAATTTCTTTCTCCAAACCTATTACTTTCTCGCCGATTTGCCACTCTGAAAGAAATTTTGAATGATCAATGTTGTTACGCCCCAAACATTGGATGACAGATTTCAAAGTACCCAAGTACCTCCTTTTAGCTCCAATAATCTCTTGAAGAGCTGAATCTTTTGATCCTTTATTTTGTTCAAATGTCTGAATTTTATTGCATAATGACACTTCAGACTCATGTAGAAATGATGTCAATAGTCTTTGAGGGTTAAATCTATCTTTGAGACCAAAACAAAAGGTAAAATAAACGGCATCAACTACCATATTTTGATTCAGCATCCCTTCTATTATTTCCGGAATCTTTGCCATGAGAACACTTGATCTCCTGAGGGAGCTAGAAATCATCTTGATGTAACTTTGGTGGAGCAAATCCTTGATATCCTCATTTCTAAATGCTTGTGGAATTCCGAAACACCCAATAAACAACAACAAACCTCGAGCATCAATTTCCTGAGCTTTTAGTATACCTCCTTCAAAATTCAATCTCCTATACCATGCTAAAGCTGCTTGCCCTGCCTCTTCCTTCTCTCCATTTTCAATCTCAACAGCTCTTCCCTCGTCCTCGCCTATCATTCTCAAGAAGCACTCCAAAAGCAATACTAAAGCCCGTCTTTCCGTGATCAAAGGTGAGCCTTCAACATAAGTATTGCTCCTTTGAGTATAAAACATGCCTATAGCTTCCAATATCAGCCTTGCAGGATTAGGCGAGAGTTTCAATGCCTTGGGGACTTTTTGTTGCAGCGTCTTTAAACATGAGAGACGCCTTATCATGTACTTCCGCAGACCATGACTATTCATTGTTTCGCAGAGGATTTTCACCTCTGAACTAGAACGAGGAGGGGATGATTTCAGCTCTATACGAAACGATTTCGGCTCCGGACGAGGAGGGGATTTCAGCTCTATACGAAACAATTCCGGCTCTGGACGATGAGGGGATTGCAGTTGTTGTTTCTCTTCCTCTCCTTCTTTTGACGATTTAGGTTGTGAACGAGGAGGAGATTTCAATTGTTGCTCCTCTTCCTCTTCTTCTTCTTCTTCTTCTTCTTCTTCTTCCTCCTCCTCCTCCTCTTCCTCTTCCTCTTCCTCTTCGGAGGGGTCAGATGGTTCTGCGGCTGGGGCTGGTGCTGGGAGTGCAGGTGCTGACGGAGTTGTATTATTAGGGCGATATAGAAGTAGCACAGAGGAGTCGATTGAGGTACGAATGGTATCAATGTGTCTGTGTAGCTCACCTAAGCATCGTTGGAATGCCGAGAGACCGTCGGAGAGTTTGCAGAGATTGGCATTGATCAATTCCTGAGAATATGTTGGAGATTGTTGCAATTCCGACTGTTTCTGCTGCCGCGAAGAGTTTCCTGTTTGATGTTTCTGTTCTGCTCGGAGTAATTGCTTGGCCAATGATGGAGTAACCCTGGCGCTGGCGCCGGAGCCGGCGCTGTAATCCGCCGGTTTATCCATGGTATTAATTGGAGTATGAGTAAAAAAGGATCGAAGCCCTAAACGGAGGAAATGTATGAACCTGTTAAACTATACTAGTAATTACATTTTCGGGCTAAATATACGTTTCTCATTAAATTTTGATATGATTTGCCTTAATTTTAACAGATAATCAAATGAAGTCTGAAGGTAAAAATATCAATTACGATTACATAAATATAATTAACATATAGTAATATTTATGATTATAATTTGTCATGGAAAATCTCAATAATGATGCTAAACGCTTTTATTTTTAGATAGAAGAGCGAAGAAAAAATCATGGAATCAATTTGCTACGGCCAATTAAATTCATTACTTAACAAGTTTATTCAATTTCACAGTTTTAAATTTACAGTGAAAATTGAGAAGTTGACTATAGAAATTCTTACTATTTCTATAGTTTTATTCGAGGACTAGTACGATATATATAAATTTTAAACTTGTAGATAAATTTGTCATTTTCTTATGATTTTAAATTTTAAATTCAATAAATAAGTGGATTATTCAAATTTTGCTTTTAATATTAGACCGATTATATCAGCATATTGAAAATTATATATATATATATATATATATATATATATATATATATATATATATATATATATATAAATTTAACTATAGACCTTATGTGACTAACAAAATTCATTATTATTGTCTTCTTTGTTAGTTTCAAAGAAAAACTATGTGAAATCTAACATATTGTCTTTATCTTCTTTTAACAAAATTTAATATTTTCTCTTGTTTAAAAAAGAAATTGATATTAGGTTAGTGGTATAATATTTTTAGAAAAGAGAAAATAGTAAATTTTATTGGAGAATGAGAGAAAATAGTGTTAGATTTCTTGGAATTATTTCTTTGGAGATAACAATGGTAAATTTTGTTAGCCACAAATGTTCCATAATTGAATTTAACACTTTTTTGATGAATTGTTAGGTTTGAGGTAAAGGACCAAAATAAACTTATATTCTTATATATTATTTCAATTAAGTGAAATACATTTTGGACCAAAATGAACAACATTATTTGTTATGTTGCGTTTTTCGAAAGTCAGTTTGATTAACTTTCAAAGTTAAATTAGGTTACATTAATTCGATATTTTAAACAAAAAATTCAGATGTTCAAAAATTATACGAAAAGTAAAATGTTAGTCAAAGTTTTTATAGTTTTACTCTAGAGAAAAAAAAAAACTATGACAATTAAAAGTGAACGGAGATAGTAATTTAAAACCATTTCAATCAATTAAATACCAGTAAGATAAAACATTACCCAGTACCATTTTGGTCATTTTCTCTTTCTTTTTCCGTGAACTCCGCTAAATCACTCTTCTTTTCAAATTACTACATTCGGAGGGAGAAAAAAAGCCCTAAACTTTGGTCTGGACAGTCGAAAATGGTGGATGGGTCGAATAACGTGGATGTAGAGAAGCTGATCTCCTTCAGTAAGGATCTTGTTCAGTTCTTGAAAGAAGATAAAGATGTCAGCTTCTTGAAACAGTGTAAAGAGCAATCTAATGCCCTTCAATCACACTGCCACACTGAGCACCAGGCACTTCAGAATTCCATTCAAGGTGGGGTTTTTGTATTTCCTTTTCAGTTTTGTAAATTGAGGGTTTGTTGAATTTTTTAGTGACTTAAAAGTTTGAATCTTTCCTAGTTGGAGTTTTCCCTAATCCCCATAGAGTCATGACACTATGTGAGAAAGAATAAGTTAGCTTAAAGATTGAACCTTTGGAATTGTGTGCATAATGTTCTTACTGTTGAATTTTGAATTCTTTTGGAAATGGTTGGATGGTTACTGAGTGAACCTCTTTCTGTGTTTCTTGAACGATGGCTTTGGCCATGAATACAATTTTTGAGTTGTTTCTGAATTTTTATGAGTGATTTGGAGTGAAGAAAGTTTTTGGTGTTTTTCAAATTCTTGAAAATTTAAGTTGAATTCTAGATTTTATGGCCAAACGTGTTTTATAGAGTTCAAAAAATTCATGGCCAAATGCTCCCTTAGCTAATGGATCGTCCCAAGAGACAACCCATTGGCCAAGAGGTTACAATTTAAGCTGCAGATCTCAGTGGTGTCACTCTCAGCTAAGCTTAGTAGTGCCTGACTGGACCTTCCCTACTTCCTATGAACAATGTGTCAGAAAAAACATTGGCTTAAAGATTGCAACTTTAAATCTGATATAGACAGAGTTTACAATGTGCTTTGCTGTTGGATGCAGTTCTTTTCGTCCTCATAGCACTTCTGCTTTATAGATACTTCTTTACACTTGAAACCTTGCTTTTTAATGATATCTTTGTTTTTGGATGTTTCATTCAGTAACATTCCTTTAATGACAGAGAAAAATGGGGTTTGAGTCAACTTCTTTCTAGATTAATTAGTTTAAAGATTGAACCCCAGGGACATCCCGTTGCCTAGAGGCTATAAGTTGAACCACAGTGCGTAGTTCAAACCTCAGGGTCACCACTACGCAATAGGATCTTCCTTGCTCCTTAAAACTATGTAGTGGAAAGAAAAAAAAAACTCTGCGTAAGATTGCATTTTTGAATCAATGTAGACAAACTTCACAATGTTCTTGCATCTGGATGATTCTTTTTCTTAGTACCAATTATTAGTGGATAACTCTCTTTACATGGAACTGAAACACCATTTTCTGTTTGCTTGCGTACTAGAGTGTCACTGTGTCAGGTCAAAATTTCTTCTTGCAAATTATCGTGATTTCTGGATGTTTCTTTTATTACTAACATTTCGTGGAGTGTGGACTGTGGGGTCTCTGTCTATCCTTTATACCTTTACATGAGTACTACTGCTGGAATCTGGATGCTCTCATGCCAACCCTCATGAGATATTTTAGAATGTATTATATATAGTGTAAAATTGGTGCTATTGCCTACTTATTCCTGATAGTTTTGGTGATACTTCTACTTTTGGTATACTTTGTTTCTGAGTTGAAGTCCTTTTAGCCAATTATAATTGAAAATAAGTAGAGGCCCAGTATGTGTGTGTGTTTGTTTAGTTTAATGATTAGCTCAATAGACCACTATATTGGTTCCTTTCAAGGTCCCAACACTGCTCCTATGAATTCCTTCAGGCCTCAGACATACATGTTGTTTTTCTTATTATATGAGTTGGAAACTGGAATTATGTTGGTATTTAGTGTCTTCGTTCGATCATTAATTTATGATTGTACTGGGAGATGTCCGGATTTCTGAATTTGAAAGTATTTATTAACTAATTTCAAGTCATTACATATACTCAGATTATCAAGGAAAGATAAATGCATGTAAGCAGAGAACAACAGAAGCACAATCTGAAGCTGCTGCAGATGCTGAAATAAATAAGCTGCAGAAAGAGTTAGAACAGGAGATCCAGAGAGAACAACTGCTAAGAGAAGAACTTAGATAAGTATATTTAACAACGTTAGATACATGTATTTGTATTTCTCAGATAATTTAGTGTTATGCTTACTGATTGACACCTTTTTTAAACACAGTTATAACCGATGAGATCAATGATTTAGATCGTCAAAGAGACTCTATTGAGGAGCAAAGGAAATTGCTCAAGAAAATTGAGCAAGATCAGCTTCGATCTGAGTAAGTAATCAGAACCTCTTGTATTACTTTAATATGTTTATGATTATGTCAAACATTTACTGCCAACATACTACTATAATATTTCGTTGAAACAATTCCATCGTGACATTGATATGTTGACTCCTCCTCATCCTCTGAGTTTCAAACCGTGCCTGCTGGCCCTTGGGGTTTCTCGGTCATCAAAAAAGAAAAAGATATTGATATGTTGACTTGTTAAGCTTTTGCAACTTTATGCTGTCAAAGTATCTCAAGAGGTTGCGAGGGTCTGACATGTTTTCATCATATTCTGTGGATAATTTGCCTACTCAGTTCCATATTACAACATGGTACAAATATTTGAATGTATCTGCCATATGCCTATCACTGTTAAGATAGTCCATTAACATCCCATCTGGTGCAGACCAAGTTCTACCACAGTACATCTTTGGATGTCTAGTTGTAACTAATGCCCAACTAAGTATTTCTTCAATTGAATATACACATGATTTGACATTATCTGGACGCAACAAGACGTATCCCTCCTTTCCACTTTATGGGATACACTTTTCTTTTTAGCCCGTTCCGAAAAGAATGACACATTTCTAAATTTGTAAACAATTAACTTTACACTTCCCATTTGACCCTTAATGAGAAGCTTTTATGACCATCCAGATGTTATGGCATATTTAAGACCAAGTTTCAAAAGTTCTATAGACACACAAATGTTATGACATGTTTAAGACCACAAATTTCGAAAGTCTTCATTTCTCTCTTAAACTCTATGATGATTCAAACTATATCACCTAATTTTGGAACTGAAGGAGTAGTATTTTTTAAGGTTACCTCTGCTGCAGCTTTACCTCATGAACATCATCCGAGGATTGAAATTTGTTAGACGTATTACTTTTTTTCGTTAGTAGTTTACACTCTTTAGACACACAGCCGCTTGCAGAATATCCTGTTGCAATGATACCAGTGTTTTTATCCAGAAAGTTCTTTTTCCTCTTTTTTTTCTCTTCAAAATGCTTAGTATTAAAGCTGTATTCCCAGTGGGCGGTTGATGTTTGGTAATTTGTGTTAAAATCAGTACTAATATTTAGTGATTTTTCCTCGTCTCTCTCTAGCTACTATTGTTTGTAATGCTTCTTCTTTAAGGGCTGTTTCTTGTATATGTTTAATTTCGAGCAATTTTCTCCTCTTATTTTGTAGGATGAAGCTATCACTGTATGCCTCTGTTACAAGTATCATCCCGGACTTGGATGATCAATCCAAAATATCAGGCCGTATCCTAATTACTTTGTTTGCTAAGCTAACATTTCTGATTCTTTTCTAAATTCACCTTGTGTCTGTTTTTCAAGATTGTGCAGCAATTCAGTTCACCTTAACCTATCCTAGATATTGTGGAGAGAGATAAGAAGGTGGTTGAAAATTTCGAGTTTGATTCATCAAATCAAACTGCCTTTGACACTTGTAACAACATCTGGAAGATGATTAATTTGTAAGAAGCAGCATTGCTCAGGCTTAGTTATGACTTGCATTGTTAAGAGTACCTTATTGCCTTGGCTGATCAGTTTTTTAATCTAATCATACTAGATCTCATTGCCATTTTGCATTATAGCGTGTTTCATTTGAAGTACAATCTTGTATTTTGTATATGATGTTTGTTGTTCCAGAATCCAAATCATTTCTAATGCTTTCACAAGTCTCAGTCTGTGAAGTCAAACATTTGCTAGGTAGCAAAATCCAATAGTCTAATTATAAGTTGCAACATTGGCATCTAGCAGGTAACTGCTCAAGCTTTCTCAACGTTCCATCGATATCAGCATCATCATTCCATTCCATTGAAAGAATTCCTCACATATTTCACCTCACTAAATACAGCAACAGTATGATAAGAGGGTCGAGCTAGCACGTTAAACATTATGAAGATTTATACCTCATATGGCCAATCAAGCAATTGTAAAACTACAAAATGCAGTGGAGATAGATAGGAAACTCTATCTACGTTAAGGAGAGATTTTACATAAATTTTACAAGAAATAAATATGCTAGAAATTCTCATATGACTATATCTGGGGCATTGCTGAAATCCCAATTTCAATTCATACATAAACGTTGAGCTGTTGTCTCTCTTATACAGCTCATTCAAGCCAAAAGTCACAAATTCTGGTAAAAAGCAGCGGAATCAGATGCAAATTATCACAATCAGAGTTGAGGCCAAGGTTTGCCCATCAATCTCCCCTGTAACAAGAAAACAACTAAACTTCAATCTGAGTTTGTGTACATTCTCACTGTCTGTGTCAATCCATCTTATAGCCCATCTTATCTTGTAATGTTACGATCCACGATATTGACTAGTTTGTTGGTTGTCTACTTGGGACCTACAATTTGAGCAAGCTCACACAAGCGGAGTTTCCCTCTGTAACCACCAGGAAATATAAAGGTGCATTTATGACCAAGCAAAATTTTGACTTCAGGAGCAACAAAAATATTGTATGCTTTGCAACAGCTGTACTGCATATAAAAACAGACATTTGGTGACACCTTAATGAAGTCAAACTTCAACACAAATAGAAATAAAACAAAAACAAGTAAATGTGGTTTCCACATGATGCATATCTGCAAGCCCAGAAACTAAATTGTGAAGTTAGAAAAAAAGAAATTGAATATAACATACTCAACCACCTTCAGCTGTTCCACATCACAGCAATTGAAGCATAACACACTCGACCACCTACCTAAGCAACATAGAAACAGACATTAAAATTGATCCCCAAATCCCAAATCAAAAGGATTGATTCATAAGTCGAAGGTCAACTTCAGAATATATCTTCTAGACAATAGATATGCAAATCATGGTCAGACTCAAAGGCTGATGGCCAAAGATCAAACAATTCACACCAAGCAATAAACTACAACCTTGGGTAGACTATCCATACAAGAAAACCTAAAACTTTAACACAATGAAACTAAATGCAAGAAGACTATATCATTTCATAACATCAAGGAAGCAAATAAAAAGATGCAGGTCCAACATTTACTCGTAACACGTAAGAATGGAGAGACAAACGAGATATACAAGTGCACATGCCCACAGGGCCTCGAGTCAACAATTGAACAGACAATCAAAACAACAAACATATGAATCCTCACGATTCTTGTTTCTCCATTTAATCTCATCTCGGGCGAAAATTACAAGAATGTCACACTTGGAAAAAAAGGAAGATGCATGTTTGAGGAATTGAACCCACGACCTTGGGTTTTCCAAGGAACCATTGTGACCTGCTGGACTGGATGAGGAAAAGGGAAAACAAGATTGTTAGAAAATCATGTTTGTTGGAAGGGAGGAGAAAGCAAAGGGAAATCAATCAGTTATTCATCTCTTTTACCTTTTTTAAAAAAAATATTGTAATTTTTGAAATCTTTCCAAACAAATGAAAGTTTTCCAGGTTGAATTTAGACATCACTATGCTAAGCCGAACATTCGCCAGAGCTTTATAGTAGCTAATGAAACACAACCTTCTCCAAGACCATGCGCATGAGATCACTTCTAGATTGGGTATACTACAAAAGGGAAACTAAGTTAGAAACAATGCCTGCCCAATGCAAAACTATCTCTTCCAGTACAAGGAGGGTGAAGGATGAGCAAGGGCAGCAGATGGAACAGTATCAGCAAACTGATATGGTGCAGGTATGGTGTTTGGCAACCGTGCAGAGCCTTCCATGTATGGTGGAGGCTGATTCACATCACCAGATATGTTGTTTCGCAAACTCTTAGAGCTTTCCATGTATGGTGTTGGCCTATAAGCATCACCGGGTATGTTGTTTGGCAACCCCATAGAGCCTTCCAAATATGGTGGAGGCCTATAAGCATCACCAGGCATGGCGTTTGGCAACCCCATAGAGCCCGATGCTTCAAAGTAGGATGGCAGCCTATAAGCATAGGTGTGGGAGGTCAGTCTGTCATGCACAGCTGCATCACCAGGGGGTCCATATAACTGACCAGTATGACTTCCTATTTGACTAGGTGTATGATCAACTAGAGTCCCTCCATGAACTTCAACACATGAACCTCCTTTCACTGAATTACCTGCACCAGCTCCATCCATGGCCACAGCACCTCCCACAGGTCCTGCCAGTGAGCCAACAGCATTTTGATGTATTGAGCCTGCAACAGTTCCATGCAATACAGACGGGGCCAGAGAATAACCATAAATTTGGCCGGCAGTTCCACCACGTTCTAACAAGGTGCTGTTGCTATCATCAACATGATTAACAACTCTATGTTGTTGTAGAGGCCATGGATTTGGATTTGGAAAATGTGAGGGTTTCATTTCTTTGTTGCTGAAACTACCAGACGACTCAGTCTCACCAATTTTTCTCTTTTGTGTCATCTTCTGATCACCTATATGCCTAGTCAATTCAGTAACTTCTTTCTCACCTATATGCATATTCAAATCAGCAATATCTTTATCCAAGTTCATTATTCTCACATCGATTTGCCAACCAGGAAGGAGTTTCGAAGGATCAATCTTGTGGCGTTCCAAACATTCCCCGACAGATTTCAGATCAGACACGTGCTTCTTTTTACCTGCACGCACAGCAATACTTTGATGTTCAAGTCCCTTAGTATTGTTCAAATATGACACTTCAGAGTTATGTAAAAATGATGTCAAGATTTTACGAGGGTTATATCTGTTCCCCATTCCAAAAGTATAGGCAATGTCAATGGCCCCAACTACTAAAGAGTTATTCAACATCCACTGTATTATTTTCGGAATCTTTTCCATGAGAACTCTTGATCTCCTAAGGGCACCAGAAATCTCCATGGCGCCACCTGCCTTGAACAAAAATCTGATATCCCGATCCATAAATCCTTGAGGAATCCCGAAACACCCAATGAGCAACAGCAGACCCTGGGCATCCATTTCCTGAGCCTTTCCTATACCTCCTACGGATATCAGCCTCGCCCGCCATGCTAAAGCTGCCTGCTCTGCCTCATTTTTCGTCCGTTTATCAATCGCAACTACTCTCCTTTCTCCCATCATCAACAAGAGGCATTCCATAGCCAATAAAGAAGCCCGTCCCCTTGAGCTATTAACATGCTTCTTGCTCCCCTTGTTGATACATTGCACTACAAGCCTTGCTGGGTTGCGCGACAGTTTCAATGCCTTAGGAAGTTGTTTGAGCAATCCATCTTTATCTGAGATATGCCTCACGATGTACCTCTTCAGACCAGCAAAGTCCATCGTTTTGCACAGAATTTCCAGCTCTGAACGAGAAGACGATTTCGATATCAATTCCTCCTCCTCCTCCTCCTCCTCCTCCTCCTCATCCTCATCCTTCTCCACCTCATCCTCCTCCTCTTCATCTTCATCTTCATCTTCAGAGGGGTCAGACTCGAAAGATGGTTCTGGCTCTGGCTCTGGCTCTGGGGTTGGGAGTGTCACTGGTGGCGGAGTGAGCAGTAGTTGCATAGCGGAGTCAATTGAGGTCCGTGCGGAATCAATGTGTTGTTCTAGGTCAGTCAAGCATCGGTGGAACGCGAAGAGTCCGTCCGAGAGTTTGCTGAGATTGGCAATGATCAATTCCGGGGAATGTTTTAGTTGCGATTCCGACTGTTGAGCTTCTGTTCTGACTGATTCGGTGTTCAGTGGTGGATCTGGCCGTGGCGTAGCACCGGCGGCGGCGGAGGAATCCGTTGGTTCTTTCATCTTATTCATCGGAGTAGAAATGGGGTAAACGAGGAAAATTGACCATAAAGAAGAAGAGAGAAAATAACAAAATCAGTCCTTTAATTATTGGGTTACGCTTTAAATTGTCCTTTATATTTATTATACATTACATTTGAGAATATAAAGTCCTTTTAGTTTTTCTCCAACAACATATAAAGTCCTTTTATTTTTTCACAATAGAGGTGTTCTAGTAAAAATCGATGCAAATCGAAAAAAAGACTCAAAGAAAACACCTAATTAAATTGAACCGATAAACTATATACATATTTTTTTATAATTATATATACATAATATATTATTTTATTATGAATAGTTTTAAAAAGGCTTAAGTCATCAGCGGCCCATTAAAGTTGTCCGCATAATTCACTTAGACACCTCAACTAAGACTAGTACATATTGAACACTTTTACCAATTCAAAAATTGTTCCTATTAGGCATTTTTTGATAATCAACAAATTATATGAAGAGTGTGTGATACACTTGCGATGACATGGCAAAACGGCTAATTAAAAAATAACATGTGGCAATGGACCCCGAAAATTATAAAAAAAATAATTTTGTTTAAAATTATTTCAAACACTTTTTATATCTAATTTTTTTAAAAAGAAAAAGAAAAAAATGAAAATGTCAACCTATTCTACCCAACCCCACCCCTACCCAACCCCCTTTCATCTTCATCTTCTTCCCAAAACACTTTCTTTCTCAAATCACAAAATCTAATTCTTTTCAAATAACTTGAAGATTAGCTTTTAAAAAAGATATATATACATTCTCATATTAAGAGTGAAGAAGAAAGAAAATTTTTACATCGATGACAAAATGAAATTGATAGCTCAAAAATTAATTCTTTCAAAATTTTTAATGTCATTTTTGATAAATTTAATGGGTTTATATATGAATTTGAGTAAAAATCTTTGTTCAAAAATTGTGATAAACAATTATCGGATAACTTTTTTTATAGGTAAAAATCATTTATCTTCTTTC